GGTCTTGTAAACGCAAATGGCGTTCTTGGACAACCATTATTCGCAAGTGCCAACTATATAGCATGTATCTACATAAATATTAGAGCGTGGGACGAAATGGTTTGTTGATTCAGGCAAAGTGATATTGACACTTGAATGCGCGCATAAATAATTACACGTGTCACAATTATGGAATGTTCACATTCATTTATATGACAATTTGCAAACTACAAGCGCGAGCGAGTAGTTGAAGGACAAAGAAGATTTTAATTTGAAATGGATTATAAATATGTTTAATGAACTAGCATTTGCTTGCTCACGACTTTACACGAAGTAATTTTTTGGTGAATTTCAATCGACGAAGAGCAGATTTTGTGCTAAAGACACTTGAGTTCATTTCCATCGTCTCGGTCAACACGGCAGGGATTATTTGGTATCTTCCCAGCGGAGCTTCAAAAAGTATCTGACATATTTTGTCCTAATCTAACAGTAATCAATAAGGCATGCCTTAACAGAAGCATTGGCATTGGCGAAGCTCGCTTTCATACCGAAGTGAGCCAAAGCTTCTCATGTGAAGCCTAACGATTTTCGACCAATCAGCCTTTTGTCCTTCGGGACACACTTATTCGTCAAAAGATAGATCATAGGGAACTATCTGACTGCTACCATGCCTATCCAAAATAAAAACCTGTGGAAACCTCACTCCGATATCGAGAAATCCCTGGCATCCACTACTAACATTAGCTACTTTTCTAGATGTAGATGGAGCCTTAGTTACGTCCTTCCAGAAGCGATCGCAGAGTCACTGCTCCAAATCGACTGGATCGACCCTTGCTGGAATTTGTTCATATTCTCCTCAATCGACCGTCCACGCCCACTAAAACCCAGAAACACCTCTAAACTTTTTGCCCGTAGACCCTTTCGGAAACTTCACGCAATGCAGTAAGACTAAATGCGCTGTCAAAATGGAAAGACACCAGAATCGGTCAAACCAACATTCTAACCAGCTACCCCGACTACACCATGAAGAAGTTCTCCAATCGCTTGCCTTCCATGAAGCACTGGGAGCACTCTCTCTCTGCTTAAGGCTGCCAGCCCAAAGGTGTGTTTTCCAAACAGAGCTCGCGGCTCTTAAAGATTACAGCCTCTTTGACTTATTGAATCTTCAGTTAATCAGCCTTTAGTAACGATATCCATCGATAGCCAAACAGCTTCTTAGTCATTCGTTGCTGTGAAACCTCGTCAAAAATTGCGATGGAATGTAGTAAAGTCCACAACAAGTTAGCTGCAAAACAAGGCTTAAAATACACTTCGTAGTGAAGGTAAATAAAAGATGGTCGTAAGAACACACGCGTGGGACAACTAAACAAATCTGGTCCAGCCGAGATAAGAAAAGATCCGACGCACTTATTTGATTAGAACGTCCTCTACTAAGGCAAGATTGGGCCTGCCTGTAATTACTATACTACCCGGGTAAGGCATTACCCGCTACCCGGGTCATATCAACAGCCTGAGTTTTCATCAACTTGGCACTACGGCAGATACTTTTGGCAACATCCGTCCAATGTTAGGCACGGGGTTAAGTGGAAATTGTAATTTCGAATCAGCACTTATGTCCACCTTTCTTTTGCTGAATTGGAGAAATGTAGACCCTTCCTGCCTCATTTACATTTTTGCGTACTAAGTATATTCTCTTCATCTTAAGTCAACTATTTCCGTATCAACTTAAAATTACTTAAATACAATTTTTTGTTAATTACAACGCATCACCACAAATTGTATATATTTTGCGCGAAATAAATAGCTTAAAATGCATTAAAATAATTTAAGGTTAACCGCCACATGAAATCCGATTATCATTTATAGCTACAATGAGCAATGATAATCGCTTTAGTGGATTTAATTTTACGCTCATAAGTACCCTGCAGGGAAAGCTACGAGTTTTGAACTAGAATGATACCGGTTTGAATTTGACAGCACAACTAGTTTACGTTGTAATCTTTTTCAATGTTAGCGACTGGTATTTTTAACATGGCGGTGTTATAGGAGATGTCAATTGTCCGCTCCTGCATCAGCACCCTACCAGTAGAAATAATAGTAGCATCATACCAGTTGACGTAATAGACTATCAATTCATCCCCCGGGAAAAGCATAAGTATGCCATTTTGCTCGCGGCGCTGCAACTGTGGCAATGGCCTACAGAGCAAAGCTCTGGCGCACCATTCGTGAGGTCCGAGTTCAAATCTCAGTCGTCGATTATTATTTTTATTTTTTATTTTTGTTTTTTCAATTTTTGTTTACATCATATATTTAAATTGTGGTGTAAAAAAATATTTCATTTAATATTTTGTGGTATTTGAGTATTTAGGTTTTTTCCAAATGAAATTGAATTTACAATTTTTGTTTTATATTTAAATTGAAATAATTAACTTACTTTACTTTAATTACGTGCAAGCGGGCACGAAACTGAGATCTGAGAACCAAAATCGGTAGTCTTCACCCGACGCATTTTAGTTATGATTTTGGCAATTCAAATACAGATGTCGCCGATAGCATACGTAGTTCGAAATCGTCGATCGCTTTAGCACATACTAGTTAACAAACTAGTATTTTTACTGGCTGGCTTGGCATTTCAATGTGAAGAACTGGTATGACTTTTATCCTTAAATAATAGTTCATGAGCTGGAATTTGTGCATAGCGGTTCAGCTTTTCACTGCAGGGCATCTACAAAAGCATGTGAAAGTGTGTGGAAATTTCATGTGTGCATTGTAGAGCGTGGAAAAAGCAACAGCTTCCAAGTGACCAAAAAATTAACTAATGTGCAAATATTTAGTTTAAATTAGCGTCATATAGAGAGGTGTAAAATTAATTTATTAAACTCATCAAAAATTACATAGTTACATACCAATCAACATA